GGGGGGGGGGAGAAAAGGAAATAGAGACTATGACTTGTTTTCGTTCCGAGTCAGAGCTATTCCCCAAATACTTAACTATTTCCTGAGCCCAGCGCCCCTCACAACCACCTTCAAAATATTGTCTTAGCTTAGAGTCCATTTATAGTAACTTGGACTGACTCAGGCTTTCTCCCTTTAAAAGGAAAAAAGCTTGAAATACATGTAATAAAATTTTTTCATTCCCCTCCCAGCTCAAAATCACACTGCGTATATAAAACGCAAGTCTACTCACGTGAATTGGAAAGTAGTCCTTAAAGTACTTCCAAACGGCCCAGCTTCTGACCCAGTCGGACCTCCTGCCTCCTTGCTCTGGGGTGCGCCAGTCCAAGTAGAGCCATGTCAAGTAGGGGATGTACAGGAACCAGTAGTTGTAGAGGATCAGCAGCAGCAGGACCCCAATGCACACCTCCGCTGTGGGAGAGGGGAGACTCGGAATGAGGGGCCGCTCGCACCTGCTCACACCGTCCAGTCATGGGCCCGGGAGGGCATTTCACACACAGAGGGTGCCCAACCGAGCCGCAGTTCAAGTCGGTAATAAGACAGCCACGGCATAGTATTATTATTATTCTTATTATTTAAATATATCTTTTTTGATTTCAGAGACAGGAAAGGAGAGGGAGAGAGAGAGAGACAGAAACATCAGTGATGAGAGAGTCCTTGGGGATGGAGCCTGCAGCCCGGGCATGTGCCCTGACCGGGAATTGAACCTCGATCTCCTGGATCCTAGGTGGATGCCCAACCGCTGAGCCACGCCCGGCCGGGCCATAGTATTATTTGACATTTATTGGATGCTTACTATCTACCAAGTATTATATTGTGTATTCGGCCAAAATATTTCCATTTAATCCTCACATAGCCACGGTATGGATGAGGCAGCCCCAGTGGTCTTACTGTCCCTTTCGTAGAAGAGACGACGGAGGCTTAGGGAGGTTCAATGGATTGTTACGAGCACCTAGAATATATATAAGTGGTTGATCTGCCTGAATTCAAAGTCCACGCTGCCTCCCTGGCCTGAGGTACGCAGACGGGGTGGGGCTGGGAGGGATGTAGAGGAGTTCCTACCACAGGTGTTCACGGGGACGGAGCCTCCACTACTCATGTGCCCACACAGGGGGGCATTCTATCGACAAACTTCACTTTCAGGACCTCTATTGCCAGAGACAGAAATAGCACGGGAGGGATTCTTTCTATCTTAGCTCATCTATCACTAGTACCTGCCACATTTCACAATGACAGAGCAAAATCCAAACTGTTCATGAGCCTAATGAAGCAAAAATTGACCAAATCTCGCCTGGTAGTAGTGACAAGAATGTATGCCTTAAAGTCATAGATTAAGCTAAGCCAGAGATTTCCTTCCTATGTCTGTGCTACATACTACACTAAAAAATATTTACTAAAAGAGAAATGTATCGACGACAGGGGAGGGAGCGTAAAGACATAAAGGTTGGCACATAGTAAGTGCTCAATCAATGCCAGCTCTTACTATTGCTTAAAGGAGCACCACTGCCTCCTTCTCTGCTATGTGCTGCAGTCGCTAATCTAGTGCTGACTTCAGTGCCCCAAGCTCCTATCCACTCTCTATCGACTTTGTTAAAAAGAGCTTTGTCCCCACCCTACCCAGCACAGTATCTGAGTAACAGCACCGTGATCTGTTATCATTTTATAGATATAGATTTCTTTTTGCCCAAACCAAAACATGTATGTGTATGTATATATAGACATACATACAGTTACATACACATATATATGATATATATATATATATATATAGTTTTTTTTAAACATATAAATCAATAAATTTCCCAGTATAGATTCAACACAAACATAGAATTGAAGACTGTCAGAGGACTGACTTGCTCTCTCCAGGGTGGATTAAAGGAAGAACGCACTAAGGAAACATGTGCCCTGTACCTCTCCGGGTTGTTTCGCTGCCTCCTTGAACTGCCAACAAAGTTTCCATGAGTCCAGAAACAAGGCCAAAAGAGTGTCCTCTGCCCTGGCACCTACAAGGATTATTCTATTTTGCTTCACCTACTTCCCTCTCCCCAGATCTGAGTGCTGACAATTTACCGTCATTGGTTAATTCTGTTTATTTTACAAAAATGTGCAAAAAATTTACAAGAAACTCAAGCAGGTGTCATTACTCTGTACGCCAAGCTAGATCGCGTGAGCTAAGAGCAGGGAGGGGGAAGAGTTACTGAGGAGTGACCATCTCCCACAGGCAACCTCCCCCACTTCTTTCCGCAGCCCTGGGCAGTCCCCACTGTAGAGTTGCGGAAACTGAGGCTCAGGCACTTTAAGTGTCCAAAGGACTTGTATCTGGATCTGCCTAGACCCTCAACCCATGCACTATTTTTACACAACCAAACCATCCCCAGTTAATGGTAATAACACCATAAACTTATAAGTATTGATTACATGTGCATAAGTAGGTTCATAAGCATAAAGACTCAGGCAAACGAGATGTCTGGGTTCATTTTTTACTGTAATGATGGAGAAACTGGGTTCATTTTTTACTATAATGATGGAAATTTATTTCATTTCGACTACAGAGTGAGTCGAGAGCGAGTCCAGAAATAAAGCCCCCCAGCTACTAATTCAGTGTTCCACTCACCAGCTGCACACCTCCGCTGCTTGAATACACAATGCACACCTCTTTAACATTCACCATAGGTTTCAGATGTTGGAATCCACCTCTGACTAGATGCCTGGCCCAAGGCAAGTTATTACTTCTGGAGACTCAATTCCTTTACCTGTGAGACATGTTAGTAACAGAACCTCTCTCCAAGGATTGTGGAGGGATTAAACAGAGAGATGCTCCGGTGCCTGGCACAGAGCAAGCCCTTGACGGATTGGAGCATTGCTATAATAATTTTTTTTTACTATCACCCATCGGGAGAATGCAAAAGTAGAGCGGACAAAATGTCACCCATATTCCGGTCACCCAACAAAAATTACCGTTAAAATTTTCCTTGTATGCACCCGTGTTCAACGCAGCATTATTCACAGTGGCCAAGACATGAAACAAACTCCACGTTCTGCGACAGATGCTTGGATATGCGACAGACGCTTGGATATGCAATAGACCCTAGACCCTTGGATATGCAATAGACCCTTGGACACGTGATAGATGCTTGGATATGCAAAAGACCCTTGGATATGCAAAAGACCCTAGACCCTTGGATATGCAAAAGACCCTTGGACATGTGATAGATGCTTGTATATGTGATAGACCCTTGGATATGCAATAGACCCTAGACCCTTGGATATGCGATAGACCCTTGGACATGTGATAGATGCTTGGATATGCAAAAGACCCTTGGATATGCGATAGGCACTTGGATATGCGATAGGCGCTTGGATATGTGATAGACGCTTGGATATGCGATAGGCGCTTGGATATGCGATAGACCCTAGACCCTTAGATATGCAATAGACCCTTGGACATGCAATAGACGCTTGGATATGCGTTAGACGCTTGGATATGCGAAAGACCCTTGGATATGCGATAGGCGCTTGGATATGTGATAGATGCTTGGATATGCGATAGACCCTTGGACATGCGATAGACCTTGGATATGCGATAGACCCTTGGACATGCAATAGACCTTGGATATGCGATAGGTGCTTGGATATGCAATAGGTGCTTGGATATGCGAAAGACCCTTGGACATGCGATAGACCTTGGATATGTGATAGGTGCTTGGATATGCGAAAGACCCTTGGACATGCGATAAATGCTTGGATAATGAAGACGTGGGACATAAATACCCTGGAATACTCCTCGGCCGTAAGAAGAGATGGAAACTGCCATTTGTGGCGACATGGGTGGATCTTGAGGCTACCACGCTAAGAGAAGTAAGCCAGGTGGAAAAGCACAAGAACCACAGGATTTCACTCATATGTGGGATATGAAACAGAAAGCAGCAAACAAACGAACAAAACAAAAAAACTCATACACACAAGCTACAGAGCGGTGGTTACCAGAGGGGAAGGGGTGGGGGAGGCTGAGGAAGGCAAAGAGGCTCAAAGATATGGTGACAGAAAGAGACTCTGGGTGGGGGGCCCAGAAGGCACTATACGGACAAAATGCTATAATTTTGTACACTTGGAACTTACATAATCTTATCAACCAACGTCACCTCAATAAATTTGATAAAATAACTTTCCTTGTGGCCTTTTTTCCCTAGGAACAGGTTATGTTTCTTTAATATGGTTGATCACACAAATGTTTTATTCTGTATTTTATCACAAGGATCTCATGTTAGCTGTTTGGTATTATAAATGTGGTGATGGAACTTCCGTGACTGTTATTTTTAACAATATTTATCAGTGCTAAGTCAACCATTTCTCTTCTTTTTGAACATTTGGGCTTCTAACACATTGCCTCTGTAAACTTACATCTGCATAAAGTTTCCCTACTTTTTGATTTACTTGCACAGGACAGTAAGTGAAATACTGGAGCACTAAGCAGAAACATCTTTGTTACCCGATACACTTTAATGCCATACCATCTAGAGGAGTTGTTCTAATTTCAACTCCCACTCCACACATTGCATACATTCTTTCATATTTCATCTCATAAACAGCACCAAAGCAGTTTTTTTAATCCCTTGATCCTAAACTGGATCAAAGGCAGAAAACCTTACAAAAACTAGGTGAAGGGATCACCTCTATTATCTATTTTTATCTCATTAAGCAACCCAAGGTAACATGATTCTTCTCAATTGGAGGTCAAAGAGACAAGGGAGATCCGAAGTCTATTCCAATATACGGTAGAGCTCTCAGGGCTGAGGCCGATACCTGCTGAAATTGTCTAGATTCACAAACCAAGATACACATGGGCGTCCTGAATTTCAGCTGCTTTGACTTAGGGACAGCCTGGATGAAAACCCACAGGTCAGCCCGGTCACTTATACTCGGTAGACGCGACTTTCCCTACACTGCTGAGGAACCGGCCTCCCACTATTTATTATTGTGGTAAGATTCATATAGCATCATTCCAAAATAGAACCCTGACCCCATTAAGCAGTTACTCCTTACCCCCCTCTCCCCTGACAACCAAGAACCTGCATTCTGCCCCTATGGATTCACCTATTCAAGGTATTTCACATAAACTGTATATAAGGCAACCAACAGATGTTGCTCTTCATTTTCTCTCTCCCTTCCTCTCTCTAAGCATGTCTCCATGTGAGGATTACATATATATATACACACACACACACAGAATTATATATATACATATACAGAATTATATATATATATATATATATATATATACACACACACACACACATATATATACATGTATATACACACACACACAGAATGGAAAGATAACCCACAAGTTGGGAGAAAAACCTATACAAGGACACACAAAACTCCCAAAACTCACTAAGAGGAAAACAAGCAACCCAATTAAAAATGGGCAAAAGATCTAAATAGGTAATTCAACAAAGAAGACATACA